CTGGGTGTGAAACACACTTTTATTTATTTATTTGACACAGGGTTTCTCTGTGTAGTCTTGGCATTTCTAGACTTGCTTTGTAGACCAGGCACTGGAGGCAGAGGCAGGGAAATCTTTGGTTCAAGGGTAGCTTGGCCTACAAAGTAAGTTCCAGGACAGCCAGAGCTTCATAGTGAGACACTGTCTTAAAAAACCAAAATAAATACAATTTTTTTTCCCTAGATGTCTGTTTGTATAAAGTTGACGGAAACCAACTAGTGTCAGAGGTTTCAGTCCAGTCATTTGAGGCTATTGCTAACCCTGAGAGAATATCATAGTGGGAAGCAAAGCTGTCTACCTCATGGCAATCAGATAGGTAAAGGAGTGGTAAGGCCCAGGGCTTCAGTTGTTCCTTTAAGGACATACCCTAAAGTTCCTTTAAGGACTTCCTCCAATTAAGCCCCTACTTCCTAAAATTTTCAGTTTCCCAACATCACCATCAGATAAGGACTGAGCAACTTGGGAACCATCTAAAATTCAATTAGATTAAATACTTATTTCCTGGTGTAGCTAGGTCAGATTCAACTCCCTGGCATTCTGAGTCCTGAGCAGTGGTTTAGTGGTAGAGACAAATTCAGGACTCCTGAGAATGAGGATAAAGATTCTGGTTCTCATAAAGAAAAATTATCCTTTCCCTCTAGATGACCCATAACTTTCTAAAATCCAAAATAAATGGATAAATGTGGACTTATCTGATCTTCTGTACATACCCAGGGTATAGGGCTGGTAGGGTAGGCCAAGACCAAAAGCATTGGCAACACTGTCAGTTTTACATACTACATGGGAAGATTGTTTACATTAGATACAAGCTTTGGGAAGGAAAATCTAACTGTAAGGAACAAGAAACTAGCAGAAAGGGGTGGCTCATGCCTGTAACCCCAGCACTTTGGGGAGGCAGAGGCAGGCAGATCTCTGTGAGTTTGAACAAAGCCAGCCTAGGACAGCCAAGGCTACACAGAGAAACCCTGTCTTGAAAACAAAACAAACAAAAAACCAAAAATAAACAAATGAAAACAACAAAAAAATGGCCTAAGATAAACAGGCCAAGATTCAAATAAGGGTTCTAAGTCCAGAATGCTGGCTCATGCTTATAAAATCCCAGTACTTAGAAACTTGAGTTTTGTTTGCCGTGAACTGAGGCCAGCTTGAGTTGTACAGTGAGACAGTCTCAAAACAAAAGAAACAAAAATCAGGTAAGGGCTGTTTCTTAATTCCTACTGGTTAACTGGGAGAAAAAGCTACGAAAAGTCAGCAGCTCACATATATACTACAAGCAGCAAGCTTTTAATGTTTGCTAGTCGGTTCAGAGGACACTTGACTGAGAAACCAAGTGCTGTGCAGATTAGGTTTCTGGCAATAGAACTAATTTTAGAAAGCAGCAAATGGTAGATTTGTACCTACTATATTTTAAGATTATTTGGAAGGCTGATACAAGGCAGGGGCAAATGAATTGCACTTGGCTAGTTACTGAAGTTAGATACATAAATTCTGCTCTCAACTTAGGAAACCATTTGAAGTAATTATTTGATGTTATGGTAGTGAGGTCCCATTAAGGTGTATTTGTTTGTTTTTGAGAGAGGGTATCTCTGTGTAGCCCTGACTGTCCTGGAACTCACTCTGTAGACCAGGCTGGCCTTGAACTCAGAGATCTACCTGCCCTCCCTTCTCTTCAGAATTCTGGGATTAAAGACATGCATTGGCAGCCACCACTGGACTTTTTTAAAAATACAGTATCTGTCTTGCCTGCGCATGAGCTCTTACTATAGACGGTTATGAACTACGATGTGGTTGCTGGGAATTGAACTCAGGATCTTTGGAAGTGTTTTTAACCTCTGAGCCATCTCTCCAGCCCCCACTGGGTTTGTTTTATACTTGAGTCTCTGGTAGGCTTTTAGGTAAATTCCTTAACAAGGTAACAACTCAAAGTCCCCAAGGATAACTAGTATTAACCTTTTGTTTTTTAAAGATTTATTTACTAATTTATATAGCACTCTGCCTGCATGTGTACCTGAGCACCAGAAGAGGGTACCAGATCAGATGGTTATGAGCCACCAGGTAGTTGCTGTGGACCTTTGAAAGTCTCTCAACCTATGAACCATCTCTCTAGTTCCCAGTATTAATTAGCCTTTTATTAACAAAAAGAATTAACCAGTCAGCATTTTTAAGTTAGAAGGCTAGTCTTTCATGCTTAATGAAAAACGCCATCCAGTGTGTATTAAAAGGTTTCACTTAGTGAGTTTAATGGACACTAATTTTAACTATAAAAAGGTTGCACTTTCAAATTTAGTTCTACTAAAATGATGCCCTCTTGGACTTGTTGGGGTATAAACCCTCCAGTCAATAACTGGGACAACACAGTGGTTAGTCCTCGTGCTCTTTCAGTGGACCCAAGTTCAGTTCCCAGCTCCCACGTAGGCAGGCTCCCAGAGCCCCAGCCTGGGGAGTCTGGAACCCTCTTCTGAAAGGGCAGCTGCATGTGCACATAACACCAACCCCCATCCAGACACACAGAATTCCTCCATGAAGTGCCTAAAACTTGAACTACTACTCTGCTAAAATATAATGTACTTAGCATTCAGCCTTATCACGTATTCCACTTTTTCACCCCACTCATACCAAGGTCCCCCCCAATTTATCACAAGTAGATTATAAAATATACTATACTTTCTGTGCATGTGTTCCTTAGGTCTCACTGTATTCTTTGTATACTTGAACTGGTTTTGACTCAGTTTAATCCTTTGGCACAAATAATCTTGCTGGGCATGGTGCCATAGGCCTGTAACCTCCAGGAGGACTGCATAAATTCAAGGACAGCTTGGTCTGAGTGAGGACCTCTTCTTTCAAACTAATTAGCAAAAAAATGTGTGGGGTGGGGCTGGGCTGAAGAGAAAGCTCAGCGGTTAAGAGCACCACTGTCTGCTCTTCCAGAGGTCCTGAGTTCAACTCCAAGCAACCACATGGTGGTTCATAATCATGAGATTTGGTGCCCTCTTCTGGCCTGCAGGCAAAACACTGTATACATAATAAAATTTGAAGACCAGAAACTTCTCACCTATGTCTATTTCTTTTTTTTTTGATTTATTATGTATACAATAGTTGCTAGCCATCATGTGGTTGCTGGCAATTGAACTCAGGACCTATGGAAGAGCAGGCAGTGCGCTATTAACCTGAGTTATCATTCTAGTTTTTTGATTTTTCTTGGCATCCTGAACCTGCAGTGACAAGTTTGGGCTCCTTGGCGAACTAGTACATTCACAATTTGGGTATCAACTAACTAAGATGTATTAAAAGACCCATTAGAAAGTGCACTGTAACTCCAGCACTCAGGGAGGTAGGAGGATCTGAGTTTGAGGCCTGCCTGATTTACAACGACTATACAGAAAAAAAAATCTCAAGACAAAACAAAACCCATTAGAAGGCCAGGAAACAGCAAAGACTCCAGAAAGAGGTCAAATGGCTTGAAAATAAACCATTTCACAACACTGCCTTACTTTTAGTTTGCCAGTTTGGAGAAAAGGTCAAAAAGTGCTCTGGGGGAGTGGTGGCGGATGTTCCCTTTGTGGAGCCCTCACCTGGAGGGGCTCTGTAAGCTGCACTTGGAAGAGATCCACCTGCCTCTGCTGGGATTAAGTCATGTGCCATCACACCCGTTTCCTTTTGAAATACTTTACTGTGCAATATTAAAGTATCTTACCCTGCTCTGGTCTTTGAGATCTACCAATAAATGAAACACTGAATTATTCTAAGACCTCAAAAGACAGTGAAGCCTACACATAATAGAACCAGAGAAAGGCCAGAATTTCATATTTCATAGTTATCCACATAGAATTTCACATTTCATAGTTATCCACTATTAAAGATGGAAACAGGGAAATTAAAACTATTTCTTCAAATAAAGGAGCCACAACAAATAACCTACGTGGTACAGCACAGCAGTACTAGAGGGAAGTCTATAGCCATCAACAGATACACAGAACCACAAGCCTCAGGAGTAAAGGGTTATAATTTAGTGGTAGCACATGTGCAGATGCCTGGATTCAATTCCCAGCACTGAAACAGCCAGGCACTGTGACCCATGCCTTTAGTCCCAGCAGGGACACAGTAAAGGGTGGATGGAAGTCAGAGGTCAGCTAGGAGCACAGATCCTCTCAGACAAAAGGCGCTAAAAGGCAGACTATCAAATGAAAACTTAACATTCAAAAGGACTGGGGAAATGTATGTAGAACAAAAAGACCTGATAGTCAAATCACACAAAAATGGAGACTACCTGACCTTACTTGGCTCACGGCCCCATTACAGAATAAACACAAGGAACTGCATATTCACAGCCAATTCACCTTTCAAGATTCCCTGAAGAAATTGTCTCACAGGGCCACCAGCAAAGACCAACTACAGGGACAAAACCAGATTCCTCTAGTTTTAAAGGCAGGCATCCTAGGAGTTGCCCATCCAGTCCGTCCAGAAAGTGCACCTAGGATAGCCAAGGCTACACAAATCTTGTCCAAATTCTAGTCAGCGTATGCCTTTAATCCTGCATTTGAGGCTGGTGTATTAGCCTGGTCTAAGACCTTGAACTAATGAAAAATTTGCATTTGGACTAGATCTCTCAAAGCAAGCAAACTGGAATTGAACCGAATACACTAGAATATTTACCTACAACTGGACTCCACACTGCAAAGACCACTGACAGGCAATTAGGATACTTAGTAAACTGGGAATGGCAGCCCATCTTTCACCTTGGCAGTTTGCAGACAGGTGCATCTGAGCCCAGCCTTGTGTGGGACAGCCAATAGGGAAAGCCAGAGGTGTAGGGGGCGCCCCTGGACAATTATACACACAATCATGCTGTTAGGAGACTGACAACCTTTAAATCCCAATTCCCATGTAGGTAGAAAAAAAAAAAAAAACAAAAAAAAAACAAAAAAAAAACTAGACCGGGACACCACTGCTGACACAACGAATCGGAGAACTATTTCCAGCTGTACGTTTATTGCAGCATTCACACAGTAACCACTGTGGGATAAGGAAAAGTGGCATATAACCCATTTTACAGGAAGTTTAACTTCTTTGCACGGGTGTAAATACTCAATTTTGTTCAGTCAGTACACAGCTATATACCACCTCATCTGGTTTTCACAGAATGGAAAAGTTAAGAATGCATTTGAGCCCTGCCTTATACACAAACAACCCTCAACTCTGTAGGATATACTAGAATGTCCTGTTCTTCACAAGGCTCTCAATCACTGCTACTCTTCACCCAGCTTTAATTTCATCCCCATGTTAAATCCAGCAATAAGAGTCCTGACTAGTCATGCTGACACACGGGGTGCAGGTAGAGGGGTTCAAAGACAGCTAGCTGGGCATATGTAGAGACCCCATCTCAAAACACCCCAGCATCCAATACTGGATTCTCTTCTCTGGTCCTCCTGTGCCAGAAAAGCCTCATCGGCCCTAGAAAAAGAAACACAGAAATTACCAACACTACCAACACCAAAACAAAATGTAACAGTGCCTTTGTAAGGGTCCATCTCAGAAGCCAGATCCGTAATTATGGTTTTTCAACAGGAATTCAGGTTCGGGATAGGATCATCATAGATCAGACCGAAAATACTATGTTTCAGCAAAAAAAAAAAAAACAAAGTAAACTCCACTCACATGCATTCCGGCTCTACGATCTTTCCAGGCTGCTGGCCATTTCAATGGGGTGGCATTCTCTGCTGACAGAAAGTACAGCACACTTTTAGCATAAGTATATTTAAGAAACTATTTCACTTTTATACATTGTTACTGTATCACAAGGATCTGTTTAGAGCAATGTCCAATCCATTTGTCCACTACCCATTTACAAATATTTAAAAGGTGAAGCTGTAGGCATTAAATGGCTAGCCAGCATTGTTTCAGAATCAATACGTACAAAGCCGCCGGTAAACGAATCTTTACAGTGAAAACGAAACGTTCCCTTTGCTGAAAAAAATCCAGGCTTCATACACACCTTTTAGAAAGATTAAAGGAAGTTACTTCCTGCTATGTATTTTCGATGGTGGTTTTGGCCTCTTTTCTTCCTCTAAGGAAAAGAAACATTTTAAGCACATCTTGTTGCCACATCCAGTCTACTGCAACCAGAAAGCTATGCTGCGTGGCCCTTACCTCGGCTTCTCTTCCCAACTGCTTGCCGACACAGAGAATGATGGCGCCATTGTCCCTGTGAAAAGATCGGTGTGTAACCGGATGCCTCCTGGGGGACACCAGTACCTCCAGAACAGCATATTAACTCCTAGAACCTTCTTCGGCAAACCCTAATGTTTAAGAATCCTCCCGAGACAGGAGTGGGGAGACAGATCCCCTGCGGCCTTCAGTCAGCCGCCCAGTTCCTGTCTCCTCCGGCCTAGGCTACATTCCTGGAATCCACGGCTTATGCGCATTTAACCGAGGGCGTTTACAACGGGCCTCTGGGCTGGGCTGAGGCTTCGGCGGCTGTTCCACACAACGTAAGCCTCCAAACTCACTCCGCGCCATCACTTTCCGCTCCTACATTCCCTCCACCCCCAATCCCCGAGCCCTACTCACTCACCTGCAAACGCACACGACATCTCAAGCTCCCGACGTAAAAGAGCGAACCGCGGGGCCCGCAGCTCCCTTTATAGCCTCCGTGGAACCAGACCGAGGCTGCCCCTCCCCTCTAGTTCCGATTGGACGCGAGGGCCGACGGGGGCGTGGCCTCCGCCAGAATCAACGCGTGAGAGCGCGCGCCGTGGCTCTTTTCTTCCCGGCCTTTCCGGGGCGTGGCGCGCGTGCCTGCCTGCCGCGTGCCCGTCCATTCTCTGCGCGCGCTCCCGCCGGCACGCTGCCACCGGTCTCCTCCGAGTCTGGCGGGCCGCTGGGCTCTACGTGGCGTGGGAGTGGCGCCAGAATTCAAACGAATAGCCGCAGTTGGAGGCGAGGTCACTGCCTGCTGGGAGCCAAGTCGGCTAGGACGGTCGGCGGCTGGGAGTGGCCTTGACTCCGCCGCGCTGGCGGCCCCTGCGCGCGGCCGGTGGCGGAGCCTGCCTGCCCCGGTGGCTGGCGCTGCGGGGCCTTGCTGGACAGAACCACGCGGGTGAAAAACCGTAAATCAGGCGGTGACCCCAGCAGGGCCACGCTGTCGCGTGCACCCCACCCAGGCACCGGGGACAGTTACGCTGTGACAGTCCTGAGAAGTTAGACACTCCATTTCACAGAAGAGGAAGCAAGTCAAAAGCCACCAGTTGTCCTAGGGTGGCACAGCTTGCCCTTTGCTAATTTTTTTAAGTTTCTTCCTACCAAATTATAAATGTTAAAAAAAAAAAAAAGAAAAGAAAAGAAAAGAGGATGCGTCAAACGTTAAATTCAAAGTTATGCTTCAGTAATTAGCATGTACGAATCACTATATGGCTGCATGTACTCCATTTGAATATTTCAGCATTTGGAAATTCAGGTCTTTTATTTCGTAGCGTTTTCATTAAAATTATGTGTGTATTTGTTGTCAGTTTCCCTTCAAGTGTGAGAGGAGCCCCTTTGGTTTTGTGCAGTGCTCTTTATTCGGTTTAGAGCAGAGCCTATGAGGAAGTAGGTGTCGCCGTTAGGTGAGTGAATGAATGACTGACTATGTGTGATGGCTTTCAGAAAACTCGAATGATGGAATGCCAGCAAAAGGTAATGGAAAAGATGAAACTTCTTCCAGGTGACAAAATAATTACTAGGTTTAAATTTCTTCTTTTATTAAATTGATGAGGTACAATGAAATTTACCTATTCCTCACACTGCTTTTTAAAATGCCTTCAGTAAACAGACCATAAATAGGTAAATGTCCTCACACCTCCGGGGATCATCTCCCAGTACTCCTCGCAAGGGGGAACTACTGTTAGCAATTTTTGAAATTTCAATACATAAACAAATATATGAAATTGACGTGTGTGCAATTTAGATTTTTTATTTTGGGGTGTGTGTTTGTTTTGAGACAGGGTTTCTCTGTGTAGCCTTGGCTGTCCTGCACTCACTTTGTAGACCAGGCTGGCCTCAAACTCACAGAGATCCACCTGCCTCTCCTGGGATTACAGGCTTGCACCATCGTGCCCTGCTATGTCTGAAATATATATACACTCCAATGCAGCTAACGTTTCCTTTTCAAGAATATGCTAAACATCTTTCCGTATCAGTATACAGGGAGAACATTTTTATAGCCAGCATGATAGTCAGGGTTTAGTTGGATGTATCAGTTTCCAATTTTTTCACTATTGACAACAGCACACAATAATAATAATAAATTGAATTTTAAAACAGCCAAGCCAGGTGGTGGTGGCAAATGCCTTTAATCCCAGCACTCGGGGAGGCAGAGGCAGGCAGATCTCCATGAGCTCAAGGCCAGCCTGGTCTACAGAGTGAGTTTCAGGACAGCCAGAGCTATACAGAGAAACCCTGTCTCAAAAAACCAAAACCAAAAACCAAACAAAAAAATTAAAAACAGGCTGAGTGGTGTGCTGGCAGCACATGCCTTTAATCCTTTAATCATTTGGGAAGTAGAGACAGCCAGATCTCTGAGTTTGAGGCCAACCTGATCTACAGAGCAAATTCCTGGATGGCCAAGGCTATGCAAAGATACTCTGTCTTGAAAAACAAAAGAACAAGACAAAATCCAGAAAGATGAACTGAGGGAAGCAACCATTTGAAGTGACAATAATAACTAAAGGACAATAAGTATTAAAATTAAGTGTCAGGCTAGAGATGGCTCAGAAGTTAAGAGCACTGGCTGCTCTTCTAGAGGTTCTGAGGGTAATTTCCAGAAACCACATGGTGGCTCACAAACATCTATAATGAGATCTGGTGCCCTCTTCTGGAGCACAGTTATACATGCAGGAAGAAAAAAAAAATATAACACATCTTAAAAAAAGAAAATAAAGTGTCCCTGAAGAGTTGATTATGCTGAGAAGCTCATTTCCTGCAGTAAACTTTAAGATAAGATCTCTGTTATGGTAATTATTTCAATAAATTCCCTGAGTTCTGGTGTATGCAGTGTGCATCAAACCTGACATAAAAACACTAAAACCAGGCTCCAGAAACGGCACATTGGTTAACAGCTTCGTTCCCAGCACCCGTGTCAGAATTTTAGCTCCACTGGATCAAATATCCTCTTGTGGCCCTTGAGGGCAAGAGCACACAGGTAGCATATACATAAATCAGAATTAAAAATAAATGTGAAGAGAAAAACCCAAAGTCTTTGGCTTTCCCAAAGGAATCGTTTAGTAGGAGGTTTCCATTCAACTTTGGACCGAATTTAAGAATTAGTGCAAACAGCGCTGGTGAGATGGCTTAGTGAGTAAAGCTGCTTTGCCATGAAAGCCTGGCACTGTCTGTTCAATCCTTGAAACCCATGTAGAGATGGAAGGTGAGAACAAACTCCACAGAGCTGTGCTCTGGTCACCATACATGCCCAGTGCCACGCATGCCCACACAGACATCATGCGTATGTGCAATAGTAATGGTTATGAATGAATAGATAAAAAAATTAGTGCAATTGTTTGGATAAGAGATTGCGAGAGACATCACTGTAATGTCACCATAAGGAACAGAATCACGTACGGTAAGGACTTGTTAGAGCATCTGCTGCTAGCTTCAGGTTAAGTACTGTGCCTCTGGGCTACATTTCCAGCCCATGGTATTAATTTTTTTTTTTTAATATATGTGCTCAGGTATGCACATTTTGCTTGAGCAGGCTGGAGGACAGCCTTAGGTGCTACCCTCATGAACACCATTTCCTCCGAGACAGGGTCTCTTTTTGATCTGGAGCTCACAAATTAGGCTAGACTGGCTGAGACATGAGTGTCAGGGATCCATCTGTTTCTACTTCCTAGTGCTGAAATTGTAAGCATGGACCAAAACTATCTTCATTTTGTTCTGGGGATCAAACTTGAGTCCCCATCTCCACAGCCTTAGTATTAGGTTCTTTGTTTGTTTTGTTTTTTGAGACTGTGTAGCCCTGGCTATCCTGGACTTGCTTTGTAGACCAAGCTGGCTTTGAACTCACAGCAACCTGCTTGCCTCTGTCTCTCAAGTGCTGAGATTACAGGTGTGAGTTACTGAGCCTGGCTCAGTATTAGGTTCTTAAAGTCATCAGATGAAGGTAATTTTCAAAGCGATTTTAGTACGTGTTTTTAACCTTATATATTAATTTTCATCATAGTAACAAGAGTAAAGTCTTGAGCAGCAGTTTTCAACCTGTGGATCAAGGCCCCTTTGGTAAACTTCTGTCTCCAAAAATATATTACAACTCATAGCAGTAGCAAAATTATGAAGCAGCAATGAAAATAGTTTTATGGTTGGAGGGTCACCACAACTAGAGGAACTGTAAACCGGGTGTGGTGGTGCATGCCTTTAATCCCAGCATTCAGGGAGGCAGAGACAGAAGGATTATTGTGAGTTGAGGCCAGCCTGGTCTATAAAGTGAATCCAGGACAGTCAAGAAACCCTGTCTTGAAAAAGGAAAAATAAATAATGAAGAACTGTATTAAAGGGTCACAGCATTAGGAAGGTTGAGAATCATTGATTTAATCAACTTTTGTAAAGAGCAAAGGCTTATTTTGGTTCTTGGTTTGGAGGCTGCAGCCCATAACTGGTTGTTCCATTGTCTGGGCCTATGGCAAAGGTAGATGTTATATTGGAAGTACATAACAGGGCAAAACCACTCACCTCATGGCCAGGAAATGAAAGAGAAGAGAAAGAAAGCAGAGCCCCAGAGTCGCCTTTGACCTCCGCTGACCTAAAGACCTGGTCAGCTGCTTCATAAAGCTTTTACCATGGTGCTGGCTAATGTTCATTGTCAACTTGACAGAAGCCACACCTTCTGGTGTAGTTGTGAGGATGTTTCCAGAGAAGTTGAACGGAGGAGAGAAGATCGCCCAGAAGATGGGGTGGTGGAGGGGTGAGGGTGAAGGGAGGGGCAGTCCCTGACAGAATAAAAACTGAAAAAGGAAAAATGAGCTGGGCACCAGCATTCACTCCTGGCTGTGAGAGGGTGTGACCAGTTACTTCACACCTGGCTGCCACAACTTGAGCCTTTTTCTTTTTCTTTTCTTTTCTTTCTTTCTTTTTTTTTTCTGTCATTCCCTTGGTGGATTGTACCCTCGAAACATGAGCCAAAATAAATGCTTCTTTAAGTTGCTTTCCTCAGGTACTTTGTAACAGTAGTGGAAAAGTACAACCACTTTCCAGTATTGCCAACGTGGGTACCAAGCCTCTAAGCCTGTAAGGCGTGGGGTTTTGGAAGACACTTAAGATCTAAACTATTGCATCTTGCTTTTAAAATGAGGAAAAATATGTGTATATATCTGAGCTAATTAATATTTCCAGATTATTGTGGCTCCAGACTCATAACCATGTCAGCAGAGTGTGCCATTGCTGAGGAAATGGTAGGATGTGATGATGAACTGTGGAAGCAGAAAGGAGGCAGAGCGGACCCTGGTGGTGGAGAGAATGGCAGCCCCAGTGACTCAGAAATTTGAGATCGAGAAGGAGAGGATGATGTAGTTTTGGTTTTGTTAACTTTCTGAACATTATTTATTTGGATGTAAATGGGTGTTGTGACTGCTTACATGTCTGCG